AAGGCCAGGAATCCAGCTAGTAAAGACAGGGAGGTCCTAGTAGGGCTAGTAGAGAAGATATTTGTTTCCAAATCAGGAAGGCAAAAGAGAGTAGGGCGAGGAGATGGAAGTCACCACGCTATTCAAGGAGGAGCAGGTCCAAGACAGGCTACAGAAGTGGATCACCAAAAAGGGTCCCAATCCATGGGCATCCGGAGGGTTCCTTATGGAGGATCCATTTCTGACCCTACTGGAAGCCTATAACCTCTGAAGAGAGAAAAAAGGACTGAAGAGTGTCCCCAAGTCAGAAAAGGACAGGCTAGCATCATGGGGAATTTGGACCCTAGCCCATGATGCAGTAGAGGAGTACAAAAGAGACCAATTAGAAGTGGAAGTGTCTAAATGGCAGATTGGTGATCTGGTCACACAAATTAGAGATGAAGTGACCAAAATTACACTCCTCACTAGAACCGTCAATGAAGCTAGTCAAAAGGCTGATAGGACAGACAAAGAGAATGCAGCCCTGAAACTGAGGATAGCAGAATTAGAGCACAAATTGGGACAGGCAAAACAAGCTGTGGACTTCATATTGGCACAAAAAATGGAGGTAGCAGCCCAAGCCGATCACACCACGTGCAAGACCAAGACCAGAGAATTAGAGAGTAGGATGAATTTGAAGAGCGTTTTAGTGGTCACGGTACAACTGAGCATTTCAGAGTCAGCCACACAAGCGAATATCCTTCAGGAGAGTCCCCCACCAGTAGAGGCATGGACTCCTCCTCCCTACAATCCCCAATGGAGTCCCCCAAAAGGGAATGAACCCATGGAGGGATGCACTCCAGGCATATCAGTAAACCCCATTAAGACCCGGAGCACATTGGAAAGGAATGCCACCTTGGTACAGTTACAAAGACAGTGGTAGAAACAGTCTCTTGGTCCCTAACAGACATTAAGACCATTGCAGACCAACTAGGAAAGCTAAAACCCCAGACTGGGGTCCAATGGATGTCCACCATCATTCTCTCCTACCCAAAAGCTAAAGGGCAGGACATCATGCAAATAGCTAAGCTGTGCATAGACCCCATCTATTGGTCCCATTTGAGGCAGCAGTCTCCAACTATGATTTGGCAAATCAAGAACTAAAAGAGTGGATTCACATGATGGTGCAGATACTCTGGCCTGGCACCATCATAAGAGCCAAATACCATACTGAGGTACAGCAACCAGACAAGACCCTCAATACTTATGTGGCCAGGAAGAAAATGTTAGCCATTTTAGACAGAGAAGTTGGTCTTAACAGTAAAGGAATGCTGCTTCTGAATAATTCAGATTTCACTAAAGAAGTGTGCCAGGGTTTAAATGAGGCTGCAAAAAATTACATAGCTCCCACCTCCCAGAGGCTAAGCACCATAGATTGGCAAAGATTCTTAATGCACATCCATGAGGCTTCCCAGATGTTTTGGACCCAAGAAGTGCAGAAAGATATGTCTAGGATTCTAGTAATGGCCACATCAGGAAAGAACTCCCCGAATACAGACAGGAAGGCAGATAGGCCCAGAGAACGAGTCCACACAGTCACGTATCAGAATGCTAAACCCTACTCCCAACCCCTTTCCACTGAGCCCTGAAGATTTAGTAGTAACAACCCTTTTAGAAGAAGTGCCAGGAATTACCCCAGAGGTCCGTCCGAAGTACCCTACCCCAGCCGGGATCCACTACAAGAGATTAGGAGTACAATCTGGAGGCAACTGAAGGAATTAGGGTTTCCTACATGTGAGATACATGGCAGACACACTCATGAGCTCACAGACCTTTTAGTCCGGACCCTAAGCAGTTGGACCCACACTGGACACAGCCCAGATGCTGATGCCCCTAACACCCAGAGCTACGCTCAAAACCAGAGTCAGTCGGGCTAAGGACACCCAGGATCCTGCAGCTCACGGAGAGCAAGGGCAGACCCTCAGATCTCTTGGGCTGAAAACTCTCCTGCCTGAATCATGACAAATCCCCCACAGCTTTCCCCCAGGACAAGACCTATTAAGGCCCCAAGAAACCCAGTCTCATCAGTCTCTCATTCTTGTGCTCCCCAAATAGAAGTTCCCACACCCCCTCTGCCTTGCCAGAAGAGAGTTGCAACCTTCAAATCGGACTTATGAGGACTCCCCACAGTAGGCGTAAAGGTGGGACCCCACAACATATCCAGAATAGCCTCATTACTTGGGGATTCTGGTGTCACTGTTAATACCCTAAACCCCAAATTAGCCTCATTGGGAGACAAAGCACAGGATAGAATGGAGTTAGTTGGATTTGACAAAGGCAAACATCAGGCCCTCATTTGGAGTAACATCCCCATTCACGTAGGCCCCATTATAGACAACATTAAGGCATGTGAGAATTAGGGAGAGGACGACGGAATTCTGGGAGTAAGATTTTTAAAGAGGAACTGATTGACCCTTGACTTGGCCAATGGTCTCCTATGGCAGTTAGAGAAAGGTCCCCTGGTAGTATCATCCATCCACAGATGTGCTGCCGTGAAAGCCCCAGCACCTCTGTACCCCATTCAGAACAACCCCTGGACAGCATATTTCCTGGATGTATGAATTAAAGATAAGATGGACTGTGGGAAGGTTAAATGAGCCTGTGTGCTCATAGAAGGAAAAGATCTCCCTCCCCAAAAGCAATATCGCTATCCTCGTGAGGCGGAAGAAGGAATAGCCAAAACTATAGAAGGTCTACTGAAATATGATGTCATTCTCCTGATGCAATCAATCTGTAATTCCCCACTCTGGCCTGTAATAAAAGCCGATGGCGTGATGTGAAGGAGGATGGTAGATTTTAGAGCCCTCAATGTGATCACTCCCCCAGTAGCCCTTGTAGTAGCCAAATACAAGAAAATCCTAGCCACCATCACAGGTGGAGCAAAATTTTACAACATGATAGACCTACCAAATGCATCCCACTCCATCCCTCTCCACGAGAGTTGTTATTATAAATTCACTTTCAAGTTCCATGGAAACCAGATGCATTTCAAGAGAACTCCCCAGAGTTCCCACTCCAGCCCCAGTATTTGCCATGCCCACGTGGTCAAGATATGGACCAAGCTGCAACCCATGTCACGTCCCCACATTTTGTCTTATGTGGATGACATCTTGATCCACTCAAGGCCTTTGCAGACTGCTAGAAATAGTGCAAATTGAGTCCACTTTAACTGCCCTGGCTCAGTGCTAGGGAATCATGGGAATTGTATTTTTTTTCTGAGCCATTGACCCTTCTCTGTCAGAGAGATCTGGTGCCACAATAAACTACAGTTCCCATGATTCCCTAGCACTGAGTCAGGGCAGTTAAAGTGGACTCAATTTGCACTATTTCTGGCAGTCTGCAAAGGCCCTCAGACTCCAAGAAAAGACTGCAGACATCACCTGAGAAGTGCTAGGACTCATTCAAGACACTGGATTCAAGGTCAATAGAGAAAAGGCTCAATTAGTTCAGACCCAAGTCAAGTACTTAGGACTAATCCTCCAAACAGACTGTAGGACCCCTGATGTGCAGAGAGTAGAGGCAATAGGAAAGCTCCCTGCCCCCACTGTGTAGCATCCCTGAAAGCACTCCTAGGAACCTTTAATTTCTCCAGAGAATTCATAGAGACCTTTGCAAGCAATGCCAAGCCCCTGTACTCCTTGTTTAAGAAGGGAGAATTTGCCACCCTAAAATTGGATTTAGCCAAGGCCCCTGCAATAGTTCACCCAGATGTTACCCAACCGTTTTACATTCAGTTGGCAGAGCAGACAGCCACATAAGAGCAGTTCTCATGCAGCTTAGAAATAATGTACACAGAGTGGTAGCATACTCATCCAAAAACCTTTCTCCCTCGGAAGTAAAGTTTAGCCTGTGTGAGAAGAACTGCTTAGCATTAATATGGGCCCTAACCCATTGGGAATTCATTATAGGTGGAGCAAAGGTCATCATCCAAACCCTCACACACCCCACTCAAGTATATACTGTCCGGCAAAATCCAAGAGGGACAAGTCCACAGTTCAAGGACAGCTAGATGGATGTTAGAATTAGCGAAGCGAGGCATAGATTATAGCAGTCAGGCTAGCAAACGGTCACCCCTTATGGGCTAGTAGTTTCCGGAGCTGCCCACAAGTGCCCTCTCCCCATCCCCACACAGAACAGCTGGCCAGTAAAAGTTGGGAAGGCAATAGCAGAACCCATGCAGGCAGGATTCATGTGCAGGTTCTGTGATGGCTCTTCCGCATACCCCGAAGGAACCCGCCTAATGGGATTTGAAGCTATTAGGGTAAAAGACCAACATATTTTACAGGGAGCAGTTCAGCCTCATTCCAGCCAGGCAGCAGATGTAGAAGCCCTCTGTGCTGTTTTAGCATTCAAAGACCTACATATCCCACTAGCTATACATACAGACTCCCAATGGACAGTCAATGCTGTCAAAGATTGGCTTCCCATTTGGATGTCCAGAGATTGGAAGACCAGTGATAACAAATTGGTCTCCCACTCAGATAAATGGCAGGAAGCTGCCCAGTTAATCATGAGAAGGACAACCCCCACCTGGATGTCTTACATTAAAGGCCACCAGAAAGGCACCAGAGAGGAAGCCGAATGGAACAATAAGGATGATGCCCTTGCTAAGGAAGCAGTAACAGTCCTGATGGCTCCCATTAATGTAAAGCTCAAGGAGTATACGCTACCAGACATATTATATTTGGCCCAACTCCAAAAAGGAGATAGTGAAGTTGCCGCAATACTGCACCTTGGACTCTAACCCCTCTTGCCCTCAGGAAAAGACTACAGCTAGATCTAAAAACATGTAGATGAAAGTGGCAATTGTGGTGTTATTTGTTGTTTCTGCTGTTGTTGTGTGCCTTCAAGTCATTTCTGACTTATGACAACCCCAAAGTGAACCTATCACTTTAAGGAGCCTTAGTGGTGTAGTGGTTAAATGACTGTACTGCAGCCATTCACAACCACAAGGTTGTGAGTTCGATCCCAGGGACTTCAGAGTCAACTGGAGGGATTTGAACCCTGGTCTCCAAAGTTATAGTCCAACATTCAAACCCCCTAAGCCACACTCTATTAAAAGAGGGAATAATACCAAACAGTTTTCATGACACTTTATTTCCTCTGTTCCAGACATTATTACAATGTTATGTTAGTAAATGGCCTGTCTTCATAAAATATGCAAACCATTTTTATCTGCTGTGAAATTATATTTTATAAATAAAGTTTTGGGTATTTCAAAACAAAACAAATAAGTTTCTTTTCTGAAGGCAAAAACCATCAAATTTTCAATAATCCCTTTTAACACTAACATATGGAGCTGTGTTTCTCTGTTTTCTGTGTGACACAAATCGTTACGTTAATTTTATATCAACCAGATCAGTCTGTTTGACTAAAGTTATCATTTATGATTTACAAAACCTACAGTCAAAGTGTAACATTTAAAGAATGCAATTTAATGCCAATATAGTTTGAAAAATGAACCCTCCATCTGTTCCTTCCCACTCCTACCTTATGGCTGGCATTTAGTTTAAAGAAGAACAAAGTCACCCAGACCCATTACAATGAAAACTTTAACATAACAGGGAGATATGGCAGTGGTATATTAAATATATTTATTGTAAGACATGAAGAGAGGAATACACTCTTCTGGAAGGTTACTGACATGTGCAAAATATGTGTTTACACAGGAAAACAAACTTTGTGCACCTTCTCCTGTTTTACAACAGCAGAAGGAATAACAATGGATAAAATCAGATTTCTTATGTCATTTTCATTGGGTATTGGGATTCCCTTCATAAGAGAAAATAATGTTCTACCAGCCTCACAGTTTGTCTGAGCAGGCTGCCTATGTAGGGAAGTGCTGAGATTTTAAACTTTAGAACAGCCTTTAAGGAGTAGGAGAGAATTTAATTTATTTGGTTTTTTTTTATTTTTTTATTTTTAAATAACAGAATTTACAAATTTCTTTACAAATCCTATGGCAATAAAGATTTATTTATTTTTTTAAAAAAGGTGAATGTGGAAGAAAGTGAAACTAATACATTTCCCTATTAACATATTTCCCATTGTAACATAATAGTTGCACAGGTGGAATTTCACTACACTGCCCTGTCCATCAACACCTCCCAGACTCACCATTGAACTGCTTCAGCCCCCTTATAACCATTCCATGGATGGTTGAGCATGGGAGGGAGTGGATTGTAGAAATGTCTGGTTATGTCAGACCCAGAAATATTATTTCATTTACTGAGATTCACCAGGATCCTCCAGAGGTCATAGTAGATGATGTAATTGATCTGTGCCTGAAAACAGGCACATAGCCAGATGCTTCTCCAACCACCACCACCTGTTCACCACCACCCACAGAATCATCATGGGTGGGGATTTCAGTGGCCAAATGGTAAGTCAGGGTGTGTGTGATCATTATCAAGGGTGAAAAAAAAAATACCAATCTGCAGAATGGAAAAAAAAAACAGGTGTAAGCTAGACTCATGCCTGCTTTCATCACTAGGAGGATGCCAAGAGACAGGTGACTTTTGGAGTACTCAGTAGTGGTTTACATGTCAGTTTGTGCCCCAGGTTTCAATCACAACTTTAAAGGCACAATTCAAGGTGCTGAACTTATTTTGGAATTGAGTTATGTACCTTGGATACCTCTCCTAACCCAGAGCAGGTACACTTCCCTTCCCTTCCTGCTCCTACTCCCTGTCAGCATGACTGTCTCTGAACTGGGTAAAATAGCAAACCACTTTTTTTCATCTGTTTGCAGACCATATAGAGGTCTGAGGCACCAGGGGACTTTCACATCACAGCACTGTGATTCTATTTTAACTGTCCATGTTCCATAGTGGAATCCTGAGGTTTGTACTTTGATGTAGCACCATAGGAGATCTCTGGCTGAGAATTTAATATCCCTGGACTGCAAATCCCTGGATAGGATGTTGCCATGACAGTTAAAGTGAAATCATAATAGAGTAAAAGGGTCCATATGGAGTCCCCCTACATTGATATCAATGGGATCCTGTAAAGAAAGTTCACAGCTCTTGGTCAATCCACATTAACATTCTTTCAGCTTAGGATCCTGTTTTCCCATAGGTTTTTCTCCCCTTGCAGAT